CCATCTCAAGTCACTTGCCCGGCCTTATTTCGCAAGAGGAGGTCAATTTTGTTCCTTCTGTAGTAGGTTCATCCAATACGGAAGACAATTTTCTTGTACACACTTAAACTCTTTTCCATCCAAGCCGCTAACAGTGTGACAGTCCCAATCTATGTTTGGAAAGTTAAAATCCTTTACCGTTACAAGTCTGTCATTCTTACAGATATCCGAGATCTCCTTACAAATTTGCTTCTCAATTTCCCGCTGACTACTGGGGGGCCTCTCGCACAAACCCAAGAAGGTGATCATCCCTTTCTTATTTCTCAGTTCCACACAAATAACTTCACTGGATGTACTACCAGGAATGTCCTAAGTACAGCTGTAATGTTTTCCCTCACCAAATTGCCACTCCCTCCCCTCTCATGCCTCCCTTTCCATGCTTCCTATAGCACCCATACCTTGGAACATTAAGCTGCCAGTCCTGCCATTCCTTGAACCATGTTTCTGTAATAGCTGTGATATCCCAGTCCCATGTTCCCAACCATACCGAGTTCACCTGCTTGCCTTCAGGCCTCTTGTGTTGAAATAAATGCAGTTTAATTTATCAATCTTACCTTGTTCCCTACCTTGCTCTTGCCTGCCTTGATTATTTGCCCTACTCCACTTCTCAACTGAACCAGCCTCAGATCACTTTTCTCACCATCTTCTATCTCTGTCTCCACCCCCTCCCCCGCCACAGATTCATCTGCTCTATCCTCGTATTCCTACTCTCACTACCAAGTGGCACCGGGAGTAATTCAGATATTACTGTCCTTGAAGACTTACTTTTTAACCTCCTGCCTAATTTTCTATATTCTCTCTTCAGAACCTTGTCTCTATCTCTTACTATGTCGTTTTTCAGAGAGTTTTTGAGGGAGTACATTTTACGTCTGCTCATGCTTTATCAAGTATTTTGCCAATGCCCCACAAGGCAGGCTAGTCAGAAAATTAATGCCCTTTGCATCTAAGAGAAAATGGCATGTGACATCCAAAATTGGTTAAGTGGCAGGATGCAGAGTTATGACTGATGAGTATTTGTGCGATTCCCAGTTGATAGTTTCAAAGCACAGTGCCCTTTGATGCACATGGCATAGATATTTTCTAATCAACCTGTTCAGAGATGTTATCACACACCTCTAAAGCAGATGGAACTTGAACTCATGCTTCCATATACTAATACAGGAAGCATAATTAAGAAGCTTCCAGTCAACAGAAACATTAGCAGTGCAATTGATAACTAGGAAGAAAGCTATAGACTGCAGGAAGCTATCAAAGACTGATCAGGTAGGTAAAGAAGTGGCAAATGGAATTTAAGTCCAACAAAAATGAGGTTACGCATTTAAGGATTACACAATAAATGGTAGGATTCTGGGAAATTTAGAGGGGCTCAGGGATATTATATTGCAAATCTACAGAGCCCTGACGACAGCAGGGCAAGTAGATAAGGTGGTCAAGAAAGTTTTAGGGAAACTTTCATTTATAGGTTAAGGTCTAGAGCATAAGAGCATGGAAGTTATGCTAGAATCTATGTAACACCAGTTAGGTAACAGGTACTATGTACAGTTCCACTCCCCAAAATACAGCAGGTATGCAATCACACTACAGAAGGTACAGGTGAGATTTTTTCTTCTTTATTCATTCACGGGATGAGGGCGTCGCTGGCTAGTCAGCATTTATTGCCCAGAGGGCAGTTAAGACTCAACCACATTGCTGTGGGTCTGGAGTCACATGTAGGCCAGACCAGGTAAGAATGGCAGTTTCCTTCCCTAAAGGACATTAGTGAACCAGATGGGTTTTTCTGACAATCGACAATGGATTCACGGTCATCATTAGATTCTTAATTCCGGATATTTATTAAATTCAAATTCCACCATCTGCCATGGCGGGATTCGAACCCAGGTCCCCAGAACATTATGTGGGTCTCTGGATTAACAGTCCAGCGATAATACCACTAGGCCATCACCTCCGCTGCAGAGAATATTAACAGGAGAGGAGCACTGAAGCAATGAGGAGAGGTTGGCATGGCTGGTATTGTTTTCACTGGAACAGTGCAGAATGAGGAGATTTAATTGAGGTGTATAAAATAATGAGGGATACAAAACAGGGTGGAAATGGAAGAATCTACTTTGCTAGTAGAGAGGTTGGGCATGGATTTAAAGTGATTAGTAAAAGGATCAGAGACATGTGCAAGAGTCGTTTTCTCTACCCGGCGAGCAATGTAAGACTGGAATTGCCTAAGTGGATGGTAGAGACAGAAAACATCACTGCATTTAAAAATGCTTGGATATACACTTGAAGAGGCTAAAGGGATATGAACCAAATCTGAAGGGCAGAATAGACAAAATCAATTGTTTTTGGCTAGCACAGCAAATGGGTCAAATAGCCTCCTTCTGTTGTGTAAATTTTTTTTATTTTTCTATATACTATATATGCACACATCAATTATAGAATAACTGTCTGGTAACACTGGCGAGGTTCACTGCAGAATTTGCCAACCTCAATCTCCCAGCCAGATTTACTTTTCTGAGCATTCATGGGATAGATATGGTAAGAGATGACAACACAGAGGCGAGGACAGTTTTGTAGGAAGCATCAACAGACACACTTATCAATTTGAACAAGAACCATAGATATTAAAAGACACATCACAAACCCATTTATACCTACCAAGTATTTTTCTTTTTAAAAGATACTTTTATCAATATGTCACATTTTAGCACAATAATTAATAAGTTAGCTTTCCAAAAGTGAGGCTTGACAGGCCAAGTGGTGGCTCTGTGGGTTTAATGGAAACCCCTGCAGTGGCACATTCTACATTCTGACAGTTATTAAATAAGGAGCTAAAAAGTTTAAAAATCATAGAAGAAACTCTTTCCAGCAGTTCATGAAACCCAACCAATGATGTCATCAGTGCAAGAAATAAATAACTACACTTACATTTTGACTTTAATAAATGCTAGAGATATCCCAAAGCACTTCACAACTAATGAAGTTCTTTTGAAGTGTTAAAATATGGGAAGGTCCATTAATTATAGGTGTCTAATATGTACCAGACTGTGAAATACGTACAGCTTCAGGAGTTTTCTTCTAAAACATTATAACATCAGTGAGCTATTTTTGTTCTGAAATATCATTTAGCATCAAAGAATATTTCAGGATCTGCTCATGGTATCAGAACAGTGAAGTTTGGTTCAGAAACTCTCACTCCATTGAGTTTATATGTCTTGTCGCTAATTGTACACCTAAGTATTAAATATGCCATGTTCTGGGTTACATTCTGCAATATCAGAAAGGGTTGACATAATTACAACTAGGTACAGCAGGAAGACAGCTGTACTATAAGTTTCAGTGGAAGTGACCCTTTGTGCCAGTTTTCTGTTATAAAATTTGTTAGGAGATAATTCCGTATTGAAAAAAGACAGGGGGTGGAGCTGGGGGAGAACAAATTAAGTGTCATTACTCAAAGTAGTTACTTACTTGAAATATAATTCTAAAGTTTAACTGATCACAGAATAAACACTTATTTGTTCATAGGGTCTCGAAAATCACTAGGCAAAAACAAAGTCAGAAGGAATAGCCCTTCTGAAGTTCAGGTCTGGCAGTACCCATGGAGACAGAAACAAAGCTATTGGCCCAGATATTCCACTAAGGGTCAGAAACCTTATTCCTGAGCCTAACTGGGTTTTTAAAAATGACCAACTTGCCTTTAGACATCTTCTGCACTGGAGATTCCTGGATCAGAATCTGTTATAACAAACCAGTCCAGGAATCCACAAATCTAGCAGTTGAGAAAATCAACAAGGAAAGCACATTCCCCTCTGCGGCAGTCAGCATATCACATTAATGTTAAATTTAAATCATTTAATGTGCAGCAGTACAGCCAGACACTTATACATCTCCCGTGAAGGCATTAGTACATAAGGCAAGCACTGAGTTTAGTGCCAGGTGGGTAGGACGCTACCTGGGTAGGTTTGGAAGTGTGACAGGTAAGCATATAAGCGCTTATGGTGAGAGTGTTTTTGATCTGACAGCAAGGGCAGGGGTTGGAATGCATTGACTGGGTCATGATGAGTGGCAAATTAAAAAGATACTTTACTCTCAACTCTTCTTGGATAACTATTACACTTCTGGGAGTTGGAAGCCTCCAATGTTAATGAACTCTTTATAAGGGTTTCAGACACAAAAGAAGAATGTCACAAGCTTCAATTTCCCAGACAATTCTCACAGCATCAGCTGCATCACAGATTCTGCAAATATCTAAGGCAAGTCCGAGTGGTATTATTGCTGGACTGTTAATCCAGAGACCCAGGTGATGTTCTGGGGACTCAGGTTTGAATCCTGCCACAGCAGATGGTGGACTGTGAATTCAATAAACATCTGGAATTAGGAGTCTACTAATGACATGAATCCATGATGGATTGTGGGACCATTGAAATATCTGGGCCATTGCTTCGAGTCAATATGGTTCTTCGCAGAGCTGATGCGAGAGTTGAAAACTGACGGCTGTTATACTATAGGAAAAGGTAGGGAGCAGCAAGTGTATAAAAAGGGAAGGTCAGGAGAGGGTTAGAGGTTGTACAGTATAAAATCTGTCACTGCTCCACCTCCAGAGTTCCAAAAAGGAGCCATATCTTTCTCAAAACATCAACTCAGTTTCTTTCTCCACAGAGACTACCAGACCTGCTGAGTTACTTCAGCATTTTGTTTCTATTTCAGATTTTCAGCATCCGTAACATTTTGCTTGGTCCCGTGCAGATCACATTGAAATAAAATGTCCATGTTAATACGCAAGCAAAGTGAAAAATAAACAAAACTATTTAAAGTTGTCAGGAGCCCATGAGTAGCCTTTAAAGAGGACTAATAAAACATAAGCCTTTGTGTCGATTTAGTCCAATTACTTGAATGTGTACACTTCATTATTAAGTACAAATCAAAAAACTAAAGTAATAATGTCAAAAATAGATAAATGTGAACATTCTCACCTTCGATTCGGGTTTGTTTTTGTCTGATAAATTTCCCAGTTCCTCAGGTCCCAGGGCAAACAATGATTCTGATTCCAAAGAAGAGATGAAATGTTAATTAGACAGTTAAACTTGCATTTATATACAGCCACTAAAGTAATGGAAAACCTGGTGCTTCACAGGAGTTTAATTAGACAGGGTAAAGCGAAAGGAGGAGACATTATGAAGAGTGATCAAAAGATTTATCAGAGGTAGGACTTAGAGGAGGAGTAAGAGTTGTCAAGAGGTAGAGGACTAGGGAGGGAATTCCAGATTTTAGGGCTTAGACATCTAAACACACATTCATAATAGGTAGTGGAGAGTATGAGATAAACATGGCACTAAATTGAGAGAGTGGTAGATTTCCTGTAAAGTTAATGGAGTTCACAGAGAGGGTTAAGGCTGTGAAACTATCTGAAAACTCAGATATGTTGGAGGTCCTCAAGGCAAGGTAGACTAATGAGGACAGGCATGATAGGTGAGCAAATTTGAAATGGGTTAAGACATGGGCAGCTGATCTTCGGATGAGCTGAAGTTTACAAGGGAAGTGATGGAAGTTTGACCATGACAGTGTTGGAATGGCTATGTCCAGAAGAAACAAAGGACTGCAGTGGAAGTTTCAGCCACAGGTGGGCTGAGTGAGAGATGAATATAAGTGATGTGATGGAGGTGAATGTAGGCAGTTCTTGTGATGGGAGAGTATGTGTGTTTGGAATTCAGTTCAGGAACAAATAGAACCCTGAAACGGTGAATACAATTTTGCTTGTTTAACCATTGTTATTATTTGTTAATTCAATCTACGTTATACATCAAATTTTAATGGGTTGAAATAGGTAAGCACCTCCATCAAAGACCAGTTAGAACAATTTTCCACAAACTTCTGCAAAACATACAATCACACCTTGGAATAACTTGCATTCCAACCAACTTCCTCCTAGCCAGTAACTACTTCATGTTGTATTTTTGAAACATGTTCAGGGATGTCAGCGTTGCTGACTGGGTTAACATTTATTGCCCATCGATAAGTGTCCTGGAAATCAACGGTGGTGACAATGCCACTAAGAAGGAAGTTCCAATATTTTAATCCAGCACTGATGGAATGGCATTGTTACGTCTGGATGGCAAGTGGCTTGGAGGGGAACTTGTAGGTGGTGGTGTTCCTGTGCATCTGCTGCCCTTGCCCTTCTAAATGGCAGTGGTCATCGGGGGTGTGGAAGATGCTGTCTAAAATGTCTTGGTGAATTTCTGCAGCTCATCATGTAGATGATACACATTCCTACTACTGAGGGTCAGTGATGGAGGAGTTGGCTGTTTGTGGATGCAGCACCAAATCAAGCAGTTTGCTTTATCCTGGATGGTGTCAAACGTCAAGTGTTGTTTGAGTTGCACTCATCCAGGGGAGTGGTGAGTATTCAATCACCCTGCTGTCTTGCACATTGCAGATAGTGGACAGGCTTTGTGGAGTCAGGAATTGAGTTACTCGCTGCAAGATTCCTAGTCTCTGATCTGCTCTTACAGCCACAGAATTTACATGACTGGTTCAATTCAGTTTCTGGTCAACTGTAACCCCCAGGATGTTAATACGGGGGGATTCAGTGTTGGTAATTCACTGATCATCAAGGGACGATTGTTAGATTGTCTTGTAGAAGACTGCCACTGCCTGGCACTTGTAAGGCACAAAATGTTCCTTGCCACTTATCAGCCCATATGTCCAGATCTTCTGCATTTCCACATTGACTGCTTCAGTGTCTGAGGTGTTGGAAATGGTGCAGAACATTATACAATCAGCAGTGAACATCCCCACATTTGACAGTATGGAAAGAAAGTTGTTGAGTCCAGGATACTACCATGAGGAACCAGGGGGTCTTCTGCCTCAATGGTAGACTCCCTGCCTCTGGGCCTGAAGGCCTGTGTTCAAGTCCCATCTGCTCCAGAGGTGTGTTATAACGGAACAGGTTGATTAAAATATATGACCCAAGGAACTCCTGCAGTGACATGCTATAGCTGAAATAACTGACTTCCAACAACCACAAACATGTTTCAAAGTGCTATGTATGCCTCCATTCAGGAGAGTTTTCCCCAATTTCCATGGCAGCATAAACCACCTGGGGTAGGAATGCTAATAAATTGACCTTGAAACCCCAGCTCTCTTTTATAAAATTGGACAGTTTACAACATGACATTTGCAAAACCCGCTAGGACTTTGGAGACTAGTAATCCAATCACTGTCAGCACACAGGCTGCTACCATTGTTTCTAAGTGTAAACATCTGCACCTTCCTCCCAATAAAACAATCTGGGCTCCCTATAATCTATAAGAAACCACCCAGGCTCATTGTGGAGCAGAATTCAGAACAGGTTACATGACCCCTTTTATCATATATTAAAGTCAGCTTCAAAACCTATTCTTATATGTTCATAATTGTAATATCTCTCCAATGAAGAATGAAAAGTCATCACTATAACGACGAGCTTCCATAAACACTACATGAAGTGTAACAACTTATAGAATTCCACATACATAATCAATGAATTTACTGCCTACAGTACAAATAATATTCTTTCTCATGCTGTCAAATTTTCCACTAAACAGGCTACCTTGGCAGCATCACAATGCTTAATCTGCATCAACCTAAATACTTGTAAACAATAAAGTTCACTTTATACTGGTTTTTAAAAAGTTCTTGCTTTCATATAAATTATGACTGATGTTGCTCATGCCTTCAACTTCCAAAGTACATGATTATAAATCACCTTTCACACAATAATTAAATTTCACATTGTTTCCATGTCCGTGGTTAGACGATTTAATCGATGATCTGGTTTGCTCAAAAGGACAGGAACAACACTGCTCATTTCTGATAGTTCCTCTGGATTTAACACTGGCAGGTGAAAATTGCATCACTTTTTACCCTCTAGAATTAGTATTTCCTTCGGTTATTCTTTAAAACCAGATCATAAGTTGTCACCAGGGTGCTGGCTTTTTAAACTGTCTTTAGATTACCATTCCCTTTCAGAACTGCAAGTTCGTTAATGTCCACTTATCAAAAAAATCTCAACTAGCCCATCATCCAAGTTGTCTTTCTCCCATTTAAACACAGGATGATGGCTCTCCTTCACTGCTTAAAGAATCTCATTGAAGCTACATCAATGGTTCAATTGTTACAAGTTCTGTAGAGAGCAACCACTTTTTCTAATTCAAACTTCCAGTTAATAGCTGAATGCATGACATAAAAAAAGCATTAAATATTTTAGTCTAACTAATAACTGGAAAAAATCACGACTAGATCTTATTTTCTTTTTAAAGGGAACTTATATTTTAAACTACAGAAAGCAATTTCTCCTTTTACACTTATTGCACTCTCCGAAGAATTATGGGCCTTCCAGCAAACAGTCGAGAGTTGCTCCTGCTTTCAATGGATTTCCACTTACCAGTTCATTGAATGAGTAACTTCAAGTGACCACTTCCAGGAATTTTCCTTAGTTTTTGTGCAGTTTCCTAAATGCATGCACAAAAACCTGTTTCAATGATTCTTTCCTTTGCCACACCAGGACACATCTCCTGGAATCCTTAGCTGGCTGTGGGATGCATCTGTCTGACTAAACATTGTGTCCCTCCAACACTGAACTATGATAGCACATAGGCCAAACAGTTTCTTCTCTCCATTGACCACACACCAAAATTGCTGTCGGTCTGTAGTTTTCATTGATTTGTAGGGGTGCCTGTAACATGACTTCATAAATTGCTCCCTCTTCATTCTTCCCCATAGCAAAATTAATCACATGAAACTTGTATCTGGGTAGAAATGCTAATTAGCTACTTTATACCTAGATCTTTTTTTAAATCTTAGAAGTAAATGGACAGTTAACAGCACAACTGTTCACAACCTGAAATTTTCAACACCTTTCCAGGACTTTAACAGAATGTTGCTTCTGCTGCGGTCTCCAACAGAGAACACCACGCACCACCACCCCAGTGACACACTCTGGTCTCAATTTGATCTTTAACCATCCCTGGCCTGTTGTCAAGCAGACTTCACATGACTCCCTCCAGTTTAACTTGAATTAAAGACAGTGCCGAGTTATGATAATCTTATTAATCTCAACGATAATTTTTAAAAGTCCTGATTTTCTTTTCTTATTCGCTCTCATTATTTTACATTCAGTTATCTTCCCAATTGGCACAATCTTTACCCAATTGCTTGCAAGCACGTGCCACAGTTTCTTCACATTGAAGTGTTTTTCTCCGCTCTAGGACTCAAATCCATCGACGTAATTTCACATTGACAGCATCAGTTGGAGACAAGTGATTTTGGTTTAAAACAATCTCTTTGTTGCAACAGCCTGGATTTCTGCTGTTGTATTCTGTTTTGACACCTGTGGCTTAGGATCTACAAGGGCGTTCAACGGAGAGATGCAAAATTTGTGTTTAATGCGTTCCAACTCTTTGCTGTCAATCTAAAGTTTACAGTTAATTTATTTTCGCAAGTCTTAGCTTTTGATTCTCTGGATTTGGCTTTACTCAAAATGGTAATTTCTGCAGCAGATTACAAATAGTTTCTAATTTCATTAGTATACTCAGTTTGAATGTATTTCACTACCATACCTGGAGATAGCAGTACTTTACGTAACACTAGGGCATTTCCTCAGTATGTGATCAATATAATTAATAGGCAACTTCGACAATATTCCAACAATAACAGGCCCACTGATTAAAGTCCAGTTCAAAGTTATTCTATACAATGGAACAGTAAACAATTTCCATCCAGATCCTATATCGAAAAACTTGCATCTCTTGCCAACATTTGGGACTAAACCAATATTGTATTTCAAAGGATAACAAACCTTTTGCGCCTTTATCAGACAACATCAGAGCTAATTCACCTTCAAATACATAAGTTTTAATGTTATAATTTACAGTCAGGTTAAATACATTCGATGGTACTGATTTGTTACAAACTTCACTCAGTGGTAGAGTTTTCTGGAGCGACACAGGATGTTCCTACAAATGTTACTGGCTCAGCTTTCAACTTCCTGTCTTTGCTTGCCCCATCATACAGCAAAAGTAATATTTTGGCCTCCTTGCATCAGATTTACTGCCTCCCATTGTCTCTTTCACTGCTCTGAGAAGAACTGTGTTTTCATTTCTGATTCTAATAAATATTATGTTCACTATTATCTCTTCTGTCCAAAGCTTCTCTGTGGGTTTGTAGACAAAGATTTGCTGTCACCTATGTGTTATAGAGCTATACAGCACAGAAACAGACCCTTCGGTCCAGTCAGTCCATGCCAAACATAATTCCAAACCAAACTAGCCTCACCTCCTGCTCCTGGTCCATGTCCCTCCAAACCTGTCCTATTCACGTACTTATCCAAAAGTCTTTTGAGCGTCATAATTGTACCCACATCCACCATGTCCTCAGGAAATTCATTCCACATGAACTACCCTGTGTAAAAAATTTGGCCCTCATGTCTTTTTTAAAATCTCTCTCCTTGCACCATAAAAATGTACCCCCAGTCTTGAAATCCCCCATCCTAGGGAAAAGACAACTACCATTAAATCCATCTATACCCCTCATTAGTGTTGTGTTATGGGATAATCCATAACGATCAGCCAAAACAACCATTTCCCTGTATTGTTTATAAAATAAGTCTTCTCAGTGGTATGTGATTCCTAAAGGAATGTGACTTTCAATTTTTCACTAAGAAGACGAGTCTAAAGCTTTCAAAACAAAACAAATTGCTGGCAAAACTCAGGAAGTCTGGCAGCACCTGTGGGAAGAAAGCAGAGTTAACATTTCAAATCTGGTGACTCTTCATCAGAACTCACATTCCACATCTTATTCCTCAGGTGATTGCCACCGGTTCAAACTTACCCTACACGGATGCCAACTGAAGTTTCATCCTTCATATTTTGAAACCACCCAAAAGGGTTCTGATGAAGAATCACTGGTCTTGAAATGTTAACTCTGCTTTCTTCTCACAGATGCTGCAAGACCTGCTGAATTTCACCTGAAATTTCTGCTCGTTTCAGATCTCCAGCATCTGCAGTTCTTTTTTATTTACGGTTTTCAAACTCCTGGTCAAGCTTCATTGGGCTATACCACTGAACAAAAATCATTGATCAAAGACCATTTCTTTACCTCTAGCAAATTCCACAAATGTTTCTTACTGTCTCTTACTCAAATTTCTAAATTTTTGTCTATAAACTGCTGAAATTAATACAAATTAAGCATAGCAATCTTAGCTATTTCACAATCTGGTCAAGGGGCCAGCAGTGGAAGAGTGCAGTGGTCTTGCAGGAGTGAAGGAGAATACAAAGGTTGAGGAGGAAATGTCATGAACAATGTGAAAGCGAGGGTGAGAACTGAGGCATTGGTGAGTCAGGAGTCAAGGCAGGTCAGTTGGCACAAGGGTGACAGTCAAATGAGACCTGATGCAAGTTAGGATACAATTTTTGAATGACCTCAAATTTAAAACAAGTGCAAGGTGGGAAGTCAAGCAGAAGAGCTTTGGATTAGTGGAGACTAAATTTAACACAGCAGCAAATGGCCTGAAGTTTGGTGATGTTAGAAGTTGAAGTAATGGCATTGATGACGAACAGCTTGTAGAATTGGAAGTTAATTCCAAATAATACCAGAACTCCAAAGTTATGTACAATCTGGCTAAGCCTCAATGGCCATGGAGACAGTATGAGACAATAGTTAAAAAATGGAGTTTACAGGGGTGTCTGAAATTGATGGTTGAGGCTTTTCCAAGCTAAAGTGAAGGAACGTTCTGCTCATCCAATACTAGATTGCTGGATAGAAGATACCTTCTTACCATCAGTCTTGACTGGTCCCTCCAATAAAGTCTATGTGCACTGACCTATTGTAATACCTTTCTTATCGTTTTATTTAAATAAAGTAATTCAATGCCAATCGCTGAAACACAAAGACAGGTAATAGCAAAATGACTGCTGCATTTGCAAGAAAAAAAGCTTTGTGTTTTGAAGAACTAGTTATTCTGATCGCCCCTAATCTTTTTTTCCCCATTTCACCTTCAAATAACTTACCTCGGAATTCAGGTGTATACAGCAAGGTCTGAAGCAGTGAGTTGAGGTAGCAGGTGCCCCCCTGGTTTTTGATTCCACTGAGGTTACTGGCTGCACGGTGTGGTGGTGGTTCAGTGTCCTTTTTCCTAGATTTCCACCCGTTCATAGTTTTGTTCTCAGACACAAATCCAACATCTTCCTCTTCTTCAAACATGTCCCCAAACATCCCGCAGAATTCGAGGCACACAACCTCTCATATGGTTGCTTTAGCCAAACAAACCAAATGTGCAGTTCTAAAGTTTACTGCTATCTCATTTTTAGCAACATTAGCTGTTTTGATTTGTGGATAGCTGCAGATTTGAAGTTCAAACAGTGTATTTCCCCTGAAACAAAAAAAAAACTTGCAAGTTATAAAATCAAAGAACGATACAGGACAGACTTGAGGGCATTAAACCAGTAGAATCTGCTGTCAGGTGAACTATCTAACTAGCCCCATTCCCCATCTTTTTCTCCAAAGATCTGATCTTTTCTTAAATGTTTATTGTACTCTTTCCATGATTCTTTCAGCCAGTGTGTTCTTGAACACAACTCACAGTGTAATAAAACGTTCCTTCTTGTCACCTCTGGTATTTTTTGCTAATCACCGTAACTATGTCCTTTGGTTACTGATCATTCTGTCCTGGATGCAGTTTCTCCTTCATTAGTCTATCAGAGCACATTAAAAAAATAAGCAATAGCATAAAGGGTTAACCAATATATATTCCATGCTCACAAAAATGGTTAACCAATATATACTCCATGGTCACAAAAAGTACATCAGCAATTTCTAACTTAATAGTTTTAGGTTAGAAATAAAAAGAGTTATCATAATGATTCCTGATTTATATTCCTGAGTTGCTCATATCCAGCAGTTTGTTAAGATTGTTATACTGCACTTGGGAGATAAGAACAATTAGATGACCTGAGTATCAAGTCACCAAGGGTGAAACACTAAGTAAATGAAGATTCCCAATTAGCAAGATTTACACGAAATATTAACTAGGAAAGCAACAGCTATAAATATATTATAAAACAAAAATTAAAAATGCTGGTAACTGTCAGAAAAATCAGACAGAATTTGCAGAGTGAGCAGACAAGTTTATGTTTCAGGAACGCATAACTCAACTCCTGCCAGACTGAGGGGCTTCTGGGGCTTGGAGAAACCAACTTTCACAGGGCACTTCTGAATTCTCATGCTCTCACATGCTGTATATGGGTGTGAAAGAATTAATACTTGATGGAGCGCAACAAGCACCATCTCCTGTGATGATGCCATGGGGACTTGGTCAGAGGAGTGCCTTGGAAGAGATAGACCTGGGGTTAATATGATCCCAACAGTCCCTGTAATAATGTAACCCATATTCATATAATCTGAAAGAATTTCTATAAATACCCAAAAACTTCATATAGTTTACTCAACAAGACTTTCTTGTTAGACCAGATCATTTGATACCCTAACCTTCACTAGACAACTTCATGCTCAAAGCAACTCATACATAACATCAGGTGCATGTATATTCATATATTGGCTGTTTAAACTTATTTTAAGGAATAATTGATCATTAAGAATTAAACTAATCAATCGTTACAAATCAACGCAGGCCTTACTACTTCTCTGTATAAAACTTTTTGGCCACTTATATTACTACCAAGATTTGAATATCCTCTTCAGGTACTCATTCATGGGGATCCAATGTTCTTACAGCAAAACCTTACTGCAATGTAAGCTGATGGTAAGGTTCAATACATCGGGAACAGCAATAATAAAGCTTCTGCAGTTTACACTTCACTGCAATGAGATATAAATCCAGATCTTAAATATTTCATTTGCTTGCTATTTGCACAGATTTAGCTTATAACATTGCTGGTGTACTTTATTAAATCCAGAAACTGCCCAAAAGTAAGGAAATTGTGTGGATTTGATAATGACTGGTGGACAGATGCCACATTCACCCTGAGCACCTCTCAACTTAATGGCACTCATAACCATTTTTTAATCAGCCTGTTCAGATGTGTTATGACACATGTCTGGGGCAGGTGGAACTTGAACTCAGACAATAAGAGCCTTTAATGATATTTGTATTCCTGGTCATGTGAGCAGATCATAGCAATATAGTGGCATGGTTTTATTTACTACTACATCAACAAATAATCAGCATCAAATAAAACAGATACATCACGTGGATGATTTTTGTTTAGAAAGTTGCTTAGAAGTGCAGTTGAATAAAAGTAGCTTTCACCTCAGCCTGGAGATGAATTATGAGTTTATAGCAATTTGAGAAACATCAATTTGCTGAAGTGCTATTACTTGAGATCCTTCAATCAAATTTTAAGCAGTCACCACAACCACCACTTCCACAAATTTGTTTTTAACACAGTTTATGCTTAAAATCACATTCAAATTCAACATGACCTTTAAAGAAACATAGAAAAGCTTTATGAAATTATACTTTAAAGTTTACAGAAGCATTAACTGTATTAGTTACAGGAAGGTTATGCATCCAAAATGTCGTGGTTATAGTGAACCAAGTTGGAATGCACCTAAACAAGCAAGGCCTGAGGCTAAAGATTGTGCTACAACCCTAAACTGACGTGAAATAAAGAATTCCTAAAATCTAGTATGATTGAGCATGAAACAGTAAAGATTGCCTCTGATATAATTTTCTCTCCACTATTCTACGTTTGTCAATCCCATCTAGCTACTATGGTAGCTAACATTAAGTGGCTCCCTTTCCTCTGGCACCATCTTCAAGACTACCATTAATCATTCAAATTCCTACTTGCGATTCATTCCAACTCTGACGTTGCAAAGGAACACACCAGAATAAATGGAGTGAAGATTGATTTGACTGAAATAAGTAAGTTATCTATTAGGTACGAATGATAATAGAAGATGGCAGATGTGTTGCAAGAGTTAGAAGGATAGAGGTAGTTAGAAGTAAATTCATGAAAATGAAGCATGCTTTAACAAGGAAACTGAAGTTTGTAACAAGGACAAAACTCATCGGATTCTAGATTCTACTTTCTCATGTGCCTCAGAAACCAAGGCAATAAGTAAAAGTCTGTGGACTTAGGCTTAGTTGGATGGGAAATGTCTGTGTGCTTGCAAATTAACTACACGGAATGAAAGGATGGTGCTGAACAGATGAGCATGGTATACAATGACAGCCAATCTCTTGGCTAGAATAGCTACAAGGAGCAACGGTCTACCTTATCATAGACCTTCTCTTTTATTTTTCTTTCCCCCCCTTCCTTTATTTGCAGAAGACCTATAACATTTCTAAGTTACAGCGTATCTCAGTTCTGAAGGAGGTCATCGACCCAAGGCATTAACACTTCATCTCCCTTTCTACAGGTGCTGCCTGGCCCCGAGTAGTTCCGGCATCTTACGTATTAAAGACTTTCAGCATTCATCGTATTTTGCTGTTGAATCAGTAGGAAGTATAAGTGGGATTGAACACAGAATTATTGAAGCCCAAAAGATGGCCATTCCACATGCCTGCACCAGGTCTCTGAATGAGCATCTCCACATGAAGCTGGTCTCTGCCTTCTTTCTGAAATCCTGCGTTACTTCTTTTCGAATAACAGTCCAACACCCTTTTGAATGCATTGAATGAGCCTACATTCAATGAACTCTCAGACTCTGTATTCCAGAGCCTCACTGTGTGAACAAGCTATTTCTCAAATCAATTTTGCTTCTTTTGTCAATTATGTGAATAATTAATTAAGTGTGTGCCATCTTGTTCTCAAGATCTTGATCAGACCTTCATGTCTTTGAATATCTCTGTCAGATCTCCTCTTGGGTTTCTCTCCAAAGAAAGCAGTCTTAACTTCTCTAGTCTCCCTGTGTATTGAACTTCCTGGAACCATGCCTATGAAACATTTCTGCCCATTTCACATCCTCCGTGAAGCATGGCTCCCAGAAACAGGACGCAATACTTCATGTCTCAAGAAGCATGTTACTATAGTTCAGTGCCTCCCATGCTTCCTACAGTACAGTGACCCCATTTTGCAGCCTGAAAATTAACACAACCCATTAAGAACCGGGGTTGAAAAGAAAGGATCCCCTCCTGTGCAAGAGGGCACACGTTCCTCAGTGTAGAATGGAGATGCTAAAACTCAAGTGTTCAATAGAGCTCACAGAGGTAAAAGAGATAGTAGGAACTGCAGACGCTGGAGAATCTGAGATAACAAGGTGTAGAGCTGAATGAACACAGCAGGCCAAGCAGCATCATAGGAGCAGGAAGGCTGACGTTTCAGGCCTAGACCCTTCATCAGAAAAATGGTAAAATATCAGTTTGCAGTCTCTTTTTGAATCATAGAGATGTACAGCACAGAAACAGATCCTTCAGTCCAACTTGTCCATGCCAGCCAGATATCCTAGATAAATTTAGTCCCATTTGCTAGCATCTTCCTCTAAACCGTTCCTATTCATATACCCATCCAGATGCCTTTTAAATGTTGTAATTATACTAGCTTCCAACACTTCCTTTGGTAGCTCGTTCCATATATGCACCAGCCTCTGTGTGAAAAGTTGCCTTTAAATCCCTTTTAAATCTTTTCTCGCTCTCCTTAAACCTATGTCCTCTAATTTTGGATTCCTCCACCCTATTTATGCTATCCATGCACTTCATGATTTTATAAACCTCGATTAGGTCACCCCTCAGCCTCCAATGCTCCAGGGGAAATAGCCCCAGCCTATTCAGCCTCTCCCTATAGCTCAAACCCTCCAACCCTGACAACATCCTTGTAAATGATTTCTGAACTCTTTCAAATTTCACAACATCCTTCCTATAGGAGGGAAACCAGAATTGCACACAGTATTCCAAAAGTGGCCTGTACAGCCGCAACATGACCTCCCAACTCCTATACTCAATACACTGACCAATAAAGGCAAGCACACCAAATGCCTTCTTCACTATCCTATCTACCCACGATTCCACTTTCAAGAAACTATGAACCATCAGATCAAGAGCCCATTGTACTCAGAGGTAACCTTCTTCACTGTCTACTACACCTCCAATTTTGGTGTCATCTGCAAACTTACTAACCATACCACCTATGTTCACATCAAAGTCATTTATATAAATGATGAAAAGCAGTGGACCCAGCACCGATCCTTGTGGCACAACACTGGTCACCGGCCACCAGGCGGAAAAGCAACCCTCCACCATCACGCTGTCTTCTACTTTCGAGCCAGTTCTGTAGCCAAATGGCTAGTTTTCTCTGCATTCCATGCCACCTAACCTTGCTAACCAGTCTACCATGTGGAACCTTGTTGAACACCTTATTGAAGGCCATACAGATCACGTCCACCACTCTGTCCTCATCAATCCTCTTTGTTACTTCTTCAAAAAAACTTATCAAGTTAGTGAAATAATTTCCCATGCACAAAGCCACGTTGACTATCCCTAATCAGTCCATGCCTTTCCAAAGGCATGTGAATTCTGTCCCTCAGGAATGCTTCCAACAATGTGCCCGCCACCAATGTCAGGCTCACCAGTCTATGGTTCCCTGGCTTTTCCTTACCAGCTTTCTTAAATAGTGCACCACATTAGCCAACTTCCAGTCTTCCAGCACCTCACCTGTGGCTATCCATTAAATAAATACCTTAGCAAGGCACCCAGCAATCACTTCCCTAGCTTCCCACAGAGTTTGAAGGTACACCCGATCAGGTCCCAGGAATTTATCCACTTTTATGAGTTTTAAGCCATCGAGCACTTCTTCCTTCAGTATGGATATTTTTCAAGATGTCGCTATGTATTTCCCCACTTGGGACCTTGAACCACACCTTTGGGAAATCGTGTGGCTATGTGGGAAATTTCTGACCACTTGAAGATAAATCAACGCAGAGTGACACCTATGAACTCCAAAGTCTCAAATTAAAGATGTGGTGGAGATTAAGGCACACAGAGAGGAAACTGATACCTACCAGCTTCTTTTTTGCCTCTCTGTTAATGTCTGCAACAGTAAAAGTATGCATAAGACATAATTAAAGAAAACTCTTACCATTCCTACAATTCCAATAGTCTGTAACTTGCATCCACAGACTGTAGAACCTTCCAGAACAGAAAAGAAGCACATTTAATAGAGAAAAACGCCAACTTCGGGCCCAGCAACACGCACTTCGACTCGGAGCTGAGGTTATTATTATTTTGATTTGATTCCTTTCCCGATTTTTGTCTAACAGCAGAGAAGGAAAGGTTTAAATCCAGAATGAATGCCTAACATAGACTTAACTTGCAGCAACTGCGTCTACCCGGGAACCCCCCCAGACAGCCATGACTGCTCATCGGCGACTGAATGCGCCTGCGCCGCCGCGTTGCATTCTGGGTTCTGTAGTCTCCAACGTGTTGTTTAGTACGGAGAGGGTGGGATGAAGAACTACAATACCCAGCTGCCTGTTAGACAGTCCCTAAGTTTTGGCTGTGGGGGGGACGCTAAGGCAAACTTTGGAAGGCTGTAACGACATAAAGCGATTCACCAACTTTCCTTCTCACTAAATAACCAACTGGATTTAAAATCTAAATACATATATAAGTACTGGTATACGGTTCGTCTGACCCCGATCCTGATGAGTATGGGTTAATGTCTCACTCCTGGCCTAACATTACCGGTGCCGAACCGAAAGGGTACTTTCCAAAGGTGCCTTCTTTTTGGAAGAAACTTGAAGCCAGAGTCCAGTCGCTGCTGAACTTGTATGTTAAAAAAAAATGCCCTGTGGCAATAATTCGAAGTGTATATAGTCCTCCGCAGTTTCCTATGATATAACTAACTAAAATTCAAAGATGTTTAATTGGCTGAAAAGGGTCTTGAGATCTCCCATATACACAAAAATCCCAATATAAATGCAAGTCTTTCTTTCGTGTTTTCTTTAATGTTTGTCCCTGACCCGACAAATGTAAAGCAAGATTATCTGGTTGTTATCCCATAGCTTTTTACAGGAGCTTGCAGTTTATGGATTTGGTTGGCTTGAGTTACAGCAAAAATACTTAATTGGCTGCACATTAGTTTCTGACATAAAAATGTCTTAGGGGTTTGTCAGCTGGACAGCTGCTTTGCAGTGTAAGTAAAGCCAACAGTACGGGTTCAATTTCCACACTGACTGTGGTAACAATGAAGGACTTGCCTGCTTAATCTCTGCCCTTGTCTGAAACCTGGTTAAACCACCACCAGCCGTCTCTCTCTAATGCAATTATCTAATGAGAGAGCAGCATTAGTCCACAAGGACTACGGTGACAGGCCATAGCTGGGGTGCTGTGTGCAATTTTAGTCACCACACTAGAAGAAGGATGTGATTGCACTAGAAGAGGGTACAGAAGAGATTTTCTTAAAGCAGAGAAGGTTGAAGGGGTTAAAATTGTATCAGAGATAGTAGGAACTGCAGATGCCGGAGAATTTGAGATAACGAGGTGTAGAGCCGGATGAACACAGCAAGTCAAGCAGCATC